AAAAAAAAAAAAAAAAAAAAAAAAAAAAAAAAAAAAAAAAAAAAAGGACTGACAGGTAAATGAGGCAGGAAACTGAAAGCATAGTGGGAAATGAATTAACTGGAAATTGAGAGATTCTAATCCTGGCTCAGCTACTAACTAGTCAGGAAATCTGGGAAAGTTACTTCACTGGTCCAAAGTGTAAAATGGGGTCAGCCTAGCTGACCTCTAAGGCTCCTTCTAACTTTTATGTTCTTGTGATTATAAGTTCTAGTATCAGCAAGAGCTAACTGACACCCAGTCTTGTTGGTGAATACTACACAAAGGTTAAATTTACCTGCAAAAGATGCTCAAGCAAAGAGAGGTTGTCTTTTTCAGATGTCTTTTTCATGTCTCTCATAGATCCCTTTAAGCAGTGGACCCTTCCTCAAAATAATGTTTTTAAACGTATAAGATAAAATGTATAGGATCACAAAGGAAACCGTTTCTATTGAAAAAGTCATTAAGATTTTTTTTTTAACATCAAATGCTGAAAAGGGCTAGGGGATTCAAGATTCTTATCACAGAGGAAAGAAAAGGAGAAAAGACTTTTTAAAACTCAGCAAAAGAAACAGTAAGCGATTGACCTATGTGTTTAAGCAATAACCCTATGCCATGGCTCCTGAGTAAGGCCTTGTTTTGCACACTTCCACCATTATTAAAATTTATCCACATTTTTCTGCCAAGACTTTGAATTGATGGCCCTACTGCCACAAACTGGATGGTAGGATACTAGAGCATCAGAGAAAGGAGAAGACAGAAGTTTTTTTATAAGTGGGAGAATTTATTCTTATTTAGAGTTGAGGTTTATAGAGTTCTGAGATCTCAGTTCAAACCTTCAAACTCTTCTACTCACTAATACCTTTCTGCAGAGGTAGCCAGCAGTACAGTGGAGTTTGGAGTTAGGAAGAGCCGAGTTCAAATTTGGCCTTAGATTTTTACTAGTTTTGTGACCCTGGGCAAGTCACTTAACCTCTGCTTGCCTCAGATTCCCCATCTGTAAAATAGGAATAATAGTATCTACTTTGCCGGGTTCAAATGAGATAGTATCTGGAAAAGCACTTAACACAGTGCTGAGCACATAGAAACTATATAAATGCTTATGCCCATACATGATTTTAGATAAGGCACTCAATCTTCCAGATTCTCAGTTTCCTCAACTCTAAAATAGATATTATAATAATAGTATCAACTACCTCATGGGAAGGGTTGTTGAGAGCATCAGCTCTGATAAGGAATATAAAGTACTTGGTAAATCATAAAACGCTACATAAAACTGGCCCTTATATAACTGATAAATATTATGAAAATGGCACTATATCAAATTTTCTCATAAAAACGATGAAGAATTTTAAATATTAAGAACCCATAATATTCCAGCTGATCCATTGGGGGGGAGGGGGTTTCTTTCACATTAAAGATCTCTTTTAAGAACAAAATTAAATAACTCTAAATACTTAAGGAAAAACCTGACATGATCATAGTCATGACAGGACATGACATAGAAGGTTATCTTCTTGGGCTCTACTTAATTATATACGGTTTTGGTGTCAACTGATTACTGAAAAACCTCAAGAGCAAGAGGGGTATCAAAACATATCCATTCGATGTCCAGGGCTTAAAAAAGGATCCCCAAATGCTATGTTTTTGTTAAAGTCTGGACTTAAAAAAAACACATACAACAGTAGGTTCAGTTTATGCTCAGGACCAAATATGTATAATCAAATTTAAAATCTTTGAAAGGTTACAAAAAATTGGGGAACAAACAATGGCCGATCAGTAAAAACATGAATATAGTGATGAATGCAAAAACGGACAAATACTTCCCACTTGCCATTCCTAATCAACAGAGATATATATAGTTTATTGTGTAGTTCATTATAATCACAGAAAGCTAGAATGTATTCATCTAGAAAAATAACTTATTTAATCCTAGTATATATTTTAATTTCAACTCTTTGGGTGAGATTATGTCAACTAAGAGCAGTAAAACTCAGATTATGTCTGGGTCTCTATTTTCTTCCAACCCATCACAATCATTTGGGATTTATAAACTCCAAGACCTTCAGTTTCTTGATGACCAAGTCACAGAAAGAGCTAGAGGACAAGAAAGCTCCATAACAAGGTGGATTTACTGTAAAATTTTACTTTATTTAAAAAAAAAAATACCTGTCAGGTAGTCACAGAATATCAAGAGTTGGAAGGGGCATTCTAAAACAGAAGACTTGGTCTAACCCTAGCCCTTCTAAAACATTAATTTCCTCTACAATATCCCCAACAAGTGGCCACCCAATCTCTGAGTAAAGCCCTCCAGTAATGTGAAACTTTTCCAGTGACAGTTTATTTCACTATGGATCAGTTTAGTTAGGAAGATTTTCTTTATATTGAACAAATATCTGCTTCTCTGTAGCCCAAATTCTGTGTTCCTGAGTCCAGAAGAATAAGTTTAATCTCCTTTTTCACATGACAATTGCTCAAACATTTGAAAGCCATGATGATGGAAGTTGTGGTTTCTTTAACCATGGTTTCTAGTACCCATGCCACCTGGCCACCGTCCTCTGGACCTGTTCTGGCTTTTCAATGCATTTCCTAAAAACATGGTGCCAAAATGAGATCCAATACTCTAGTTATAGTCTGACTACGTAAAGTACAGGGGAACTATCACCTCCTCTATTCTGATCACCATAATTTTGTTGGCATAGATTAAGATCATATTATTTTGTCTGCCACATCACACTGTTGCCTCTCATTGGCCTTGCTCGTTAGAAACCTCATCTTTTTCGTATGAATTGTCATCTAAACACATTTCCCTCAGTATTAACTTACATTTTGGATCCAAGGGCTGGAACTTTCAATGAGCCCAATTAAATGTCATTCATTTCATGGTGCGTATCATTTTGGATCCCAGTTTTGTTTCATCCAAAAATCTGATGACTATGTCATCTATTTTAATCCCAGAAGCCAGGGCAGAGTCCTAAGGCACTGCACTAGAAATTGCTCTTTGGCTGATACTGATCCATGACTTATATGGCTGCCTTTAGGGGGTCAGTCCAGCTGACTCCAAACCTTTTCTCTCACTTACATGACTTCTGGTTTTTATCCAGTCCTGTATTTTAACTTGCATGGGACTCCTGGTGTGGAAATTCCTACCACTGCAGATCAGCCACTGTTCTATAACTTAGCACCTTAAGAGACTCCTGGGGAACCTGGAGAGTAAGTAATTTCCTAGGGCCACAGAATCAACAGAGTATGAACTTAAACCAAAGACTTCCTGATTCTGAGACTAGCTTTCTCCCAATTAGGCCACATTGCTTCTCACACTACTGACTGATACATACATGGTATAAAAATATGTTAGAAGCACATTACCATCTGTAGCATATACATGAAATACTATGAAATATCCACTTTTTATTCAAAGTACAGGGCCCCCTATCTTATCGTTGTGTCTTTTACAATGCCTAGGATCTATGAGGTACTCAGATAGTTACTCACTACTGATTCTGTTTCTACAACAAAGCTATTACCTCAAGCAAGACTCCCCAACAGTGTATGGAAAGAAAATTCTTATGCAATTTCAACATCTGAATGGAACACCTACTGGATTCATCAATGGGCCTCAGGAGCTGTCCTTGATTTGCAGAGCAACTTACACTGGCATTTTATTTTGCAATCAGTTTCACAAATTAACTCTCTGGGATAAAAATCAAAAGATACTGAGAAGAGAGTCTTGTCCAAGGTCCTTCTTTGAGTCAAGATTAGAATCAAACATGAAATTTATAGCCCTTGGAATTTGTAACTGCTCCTAATAAAGGAACCAAGAATTCTCTGCACATCCAATATAAAACCCAGGGCATTTTTATTTCTTTCCTTCCAGATCTATATGTCAAAGGACTGGAGCAATGGAAACAAGCTGGACATCAAGGGATGAAGGTCTGAGTGTAACAAAGGAAGTACTGACAGCTCTCAATTTAACTTTTTTTTCTAGTCTTCTTCCCCACCCCACCCCCGGCCCCCATATATGCACTAAAAATCTGTCATTGATATGAATTAAGGAGATGGAATTACAAGTTTCTTGAATGCAGGGACTGTTTTGTGCATCTCTAAATTAAAAGAACCATAAATATAGAGCTGTAAGGGGCCTCAGGGGCTACCTAACTCCCTCATTTTACAGATGAAAAAACTGAGGACCAGATGGGTTAAATTCGGCCAGGATCACACAACTGTGTTAAACATTTCTTCATAATCTCTAATAAAAAGTTGAACACATACAAGCTATTCAATAAATGATAACGATACCTGTAGGCTAATCAAGTTACATCCTGTGTCAATTTGGCAAATAACACCCTACCATGGATTATACAAGTAAACTACCTATACTAGTGATGGGGGGAGGGGAGAAATTCAAGAGAGAAAGAGTCCCTTAAAATATAAATATTCTCCCCTTAGGATATGTTACAGGATTTCCCTCAGCATCAATATAAATCATACCTTCTACTTTCCCTTCTAAGCAGAGTCTCTAAGGCCTCATCCACCTTTTCAAATAGGCACTCTGGTTATATTCTAATATATCAAGAAAATATCTCAACCTTTGAGAAAGGGCAACAGCAATTAAGCAGAAACTTACTTGGCAAACAGGAGTTGCCATAGTTCCTCAAAAGAATTTGCTTGTGCCCTAGTCTGTCTATATGACCACGAATAGCTTATTGCATCCCCTCCTGCCCCATATCCCCACTCCCAAAATAAAATAGCTCCCTCCTTTCTTCCCAAACTCTACAACCTCTCCCCAAAAAAGCAGTGGAAGACCAAGTTGACCTTCTCTGGAAGGGTTTAGAAGGAAGAAATTGAGCACGGGGCTCTACCTTCTGTGGGACCCAGGTGAGCTGAAAAGTATGCTTGATCATCCCTTCTCCCCATCAGTCCACCAGACAACTAACTTTAAAGCTGAAGAGCAAGGTGCTTAAACGTTCGCTGAATCTAACCATCTAAAAATTACACTGCCCAGATTCAAACCCAGGGTTCTCTGATTACAAATCCAGTTAAGTGTACATAACACCCCGACCTGCTAACTGCCAGCACTCTGAGAAGCATATCAGTTCTTCCAAACCCTGTTGGGGGAAGGAGGTGAAGAAATTCCTTCCCATCGCCCCGCCTTCTCTCCCAGGGGGTCACTCGCCCTACCAGTTCAGCCTGCAGTTAGAGGAGATCAAGGCAGGAAGGTAGGGTGCAGGCTTGGGTAAAAGTGCCAACCACCACCCTGCTCCCTCTCCAGTGTCGGGGAGCTGCGGCAGATGAAGGGAAAAGCAGCTGCAGTTCCAGGAGGCAGCAGAGAGCAGCATCCGATCGGGCCTGTGAGTGGGCGCCTCCTTCCCTGCAAGGCAGGCTCACCCAGCCCGCCAGCCCGGCGCGGGCTACCCTGAAGTAAGGGAGCTGCGGGAGGAGGAGTGGGGGGTCCCCGTGCCCCTTCCCATCCTACCTGCCCTGACTCCCCGGACTCCATGGCCCCGCTGTCCTCGGGCTGCGCCGACCCCTCCACGGGACCCCCTCCCCCAAAGCCCTCCCGAAGACCCTCTCTTCCTCCCTCCCAGCCCTGAGGCCCGGCCAGGGAATTGGCTCCCTCGGAAGCGGAGAGCGCCGGGGAGGGGGGCCCGGCCCAAGGACTCAGGCAGCCGAGACCCTAGATGCGGTGGAGGGGGCTGGCAAGTGACCACGGCCCAGACGGGGTACTAAACTGAAGCGAGCGTCGCGCCCAGCGCGCAGCTTTACGGCATCGGCCGCAGCCTCACGGGAGGGGTAGTTCGTCCGAAGCAGGCACCCCCTGAAAGTGCTGATTGGCTACGGCGAGACGCCCTCCTGATTGGGCCTAGAGAAGCTCTATTCCCGCCCCGCCACCTCCTTCCCCCCCCCCCCCGCCTCACTGCAGGGAGAGATTTTCCGTTGCTAGGTAACCGTCCCCCTACTCCCAACACACACTCCCTCGAAAAACTACCCGCTGCTCCGATCCAGTGTCCACGATTGGTCGCCGGAAAGGCGGGGCCTGGAGTAGGCGGAAAGCTTTCTTTTGGTTTGGCACGCCCCTTACCAGCTTCTGCGCATGCCTCCTGCTACTAGGCAACCGTTCAGCGTTTTAGTGCACGTGATTGGCTTCCCCAACCCCAGGCTGGAAGATCGTGCAAAAGACAGGTAGTTCCGCTGGGCTCTCTGCGTACTTCCGAACCACGGAGTCCAAGGAAGGCTCGAACTGGAGACTAGGTCTCCAAAGCACAAAATGTCAGAGTTGGAAGAGACCACCTGGGCTAAACCCCTTATTTTACAGACGGAAACTGAAGGTCGGTGAAGAAAATGACTTGCCTAAGGTCAGACAGCTAGCTAAGGAATTGATCTTTTTCTCCTTTCCCTTGGAAATAATAATAGTCGCCGTATTTGTACAGCTTGTGATGATTTACACAGTGTTTTCCTCATAACAGTCCTCTAAGGTAGGAAGCATATTATTACCCTCACTCTACGGATGAGAAAACTAGGGTTCAGAGAGGGATGTGGCTTGCCTGAGGTAATACAGCAGACTGGTGTTGCTAGGTAGAAATAAGGAAGCCCTAGCTTTGTCTGTGTTCGTTTTGACGGAGCAAATTCTGTCCCTCATAACAGCTTATCTGTGATGAGAATTACACACATAGACACTTTGATAGGCCCTGGATATGGAAACTGACTCAGAACAATAGAGCCCAATTTTTTTATTTTTTCAGTCTGGCACTTGACTGTGTTTTAGGGGTGCCATTTCACATTTCCTTTCTCTCACCGTGTTATTATATGATCTTTGGATTTATCCCCAAGATTACACCTCCCTTCTTTGACCCAGCAATACCACTTCTAGGTCTGTATCCCAAAGAGAGCATAAAAACAGGAAGAGGACCCACATGTACAAAAATATTTATAGCAGTTCTCTTTGTGGTGGCCAAGAATTGGAAATTGAGGGGATGCCCATCAATTGGGGAATGACTGAACAAGCTGTGGTATATGAGTGTAATGGACTACTATTGTGCTGTAAGAAATGATGAACAGGCAGACTTCAGAAAAACCTGGAAAGACGTATATGAACTGATGCTGAGTAAAGTGAGTAGAACCAGGAGAACATTGTACACAGTGACAGCTGCACTGTA